ATGCCTAACATAGAAATTTTTTTCAAAGTTTTAGGACAGATTGCAGTTTCATTTTCATTCAGGCCAGAGAGGCCAAATAGAACCAAGAACAGAGAAACTGCTAGGAAAGCTTGATTTTGTGGGTAACTGCAGAAGATATATCAGATAGATTCTTCATTTAAAGCCAAACCACACTAAGAAAAAAGCCTTTTCAGATTCTTTATCAGTTTGCAAAGAGCGCAGGGACCTTTATTGTTGCATGTTTTTTCTTTACAATTCTGAGAGGAAAATACTCCTTCATGAACTGATCAGGAAATACAGAAGAGATACGAACATCATTTTATATCAAAGATGATGGGAAAAGCTTCAAAATTTGTTAGATCAGTGGTTCAGAAATTTTACAGGAACCATAAAGTATTTCTGTTTGCAGCTGAGTTTATTCAGTGTTAAGAATTGAGAGATCAGTATTTGGACAGACTCTATTCCTTACAGTACTTCAACACTAGTTTCATTAAGCTTATTGAATTTCAGTTAGTGGTTGTCAAATGACAGACAGTAACAATTACAAAAGAACTGTTCTATGTACTCCTGTCCTTAGAAGTACTCTTTTCGGAGAAGGCTCTTTTGGAGGGCATCTATTACGAATGTGAACAAGCACATCTGCTACCATGTAAGACTATTTCAAAGATAAAAGCAAGACTTCAAAATGTTTCAAAGAAGCAGCAGCAGCCTTCCCTTTAGTCCTCTGATAAGCCAAAAAAATAACCTCTAAGTGCCTTTTCTAAGAGTACTACAGGAAAGTTGAGTGCTTTATAGCTTATTTTTAGTGACTAATGATTTTTTTGTTTGTTTGTTTTGCTAGTATCAACTCTACTATTTTCCCCTTACAAGAATAGTAGAAACTTCTGTGCTTAAGTGAATCAAGCTAGACCAAACATTGGCAGATTGGGAAATTTTCAGTTCAGATTTAGTTCAGTTAACTAACATGAAATACATAATTTCATATGGTATTACCAAATCAATTCAAGACTTTGATACTTCATCTCTAAAAGCATGTCACTGAATATTTTTACTATATTGCACATTTATATATACAGACTAATATAAGATACAAAAACAAATACTTTTTTTTCTTATTCACATTTCTGTAAGCAATTGGACATCATAAATACAGTAGAATAATATTTAAGCAGAACAGCCATAGCCTCCCCTATGTTATTTTCATCAGTCCCATGACACACTGAGTAAGAGTTCTAACTACCTCAAGTATAAATAGAATTAAAATGGCAATTTAAAAGAAAAAGACAGTGACTCACAACCAATGAGAGAACATCACGATGGTGATTCAAATCAATGTACAGGCTTGTCTGCTGCTAACTCTACGTAATTTTTGACATTGGGAATGTTTAATTTATTTAAAAGTCTTTTTCTTTAAGTCTACCAAACATTTTAAAAGGAATTTGCTAAGACTGGAAGACACTACACTTGATTTAAGAAGAGATTGTTCTACCTCCTTTTGATCCAATATTCCTTGTTGATTGAAGACCCAGTACAAGCCTTACCTTTGCAGTGTCTGTGTAGCACATCTAATGCAGCAATGAGGAACTCGTGTGCATCTTGTTGCTCGTACCCTGCTAAATGCCGTGCATGAGTCCATACCAGGTGCAATAACCTATATGGAATGTGAGGAGATCGGTGCCCAGAGTAAAACTGCTCAAAGCAAAGAAAAGGACATGACTGTTAACAAGTTACACAGCCTCAGTGCATTTAATTATTAAAAACTTAAACGAGTGCAATTAGTCGAATATATTTAAACCATTTAATTCTGATAGTCTTAATAATAAAACAGCTTTTTATCACAGACTACTGAAGAAGTGATCTCAGACCTGAGCACCTCAATTTTCTCCCTTGAAATTCCTTCATTTTGTGATGGACTAGCCTAAAATTAAAAAAAAAATAACAAAAACCAAACAAAAAACATGCAGGGGGACACAACACTCAGAATTTCCTTACCGATATCTGGCTTTTAATAAAATAGCCTAGGAAAAAAACGCCCTTACATTTGCAAGAGATTACAAATTACATGCCCCCAGAAAACAGGACAAACGCTGAAGATGAGAATATCAGATGCCAACTGCCATCCAGCCCCTGACCCAAGCCAAGGTACCTTTCTGCATCCAACGGCTGCGCTCAGTCCTACCTTAGGGAAAAATTTACAGGCAGGATAGCAGCCTCATGGCAGTGTCAGCCTTTCACTTTATAGCTACAGCAGCGCAAGGCTTTAGAAACAACTTTATTCAGCAGAGCTGTTTGCAGAGATGAAAGGACCACCTCCTTCTTCCATCTCCAAAGTCAGCTGCCCGTTACTGCTCCTGCAGGGTGTCACTGCCCAGAGATCTGGGTCCCGGACCGGGTCCTGCATCTGCTTCTTAATCTGCTTCAGTCAAAATCTGATGAGCTGGCTACAGCAGTGACTGAAATCGCCCCAGGTGATTTTGCCAAAAGCATATTAGAGTGTGTACAGACAAATTATTCAGTCAGCAAAACTGTGATGTGAAACACCACTGCAGAGTGGTGACACACAGCTGGGGAGGTAAATCAGCACAGAAGAGGAGGACAGATAACTGTCTGTAGAAATTTATGGCTTTTTTGTTGCCTTTTTAAAAAAATAAAAACCAGCCAGGTCCTACTTAAAAAAAATAACCGTCAACCCCTCTTCCCCCACTTAGGGTCTGTGTTTCCCTGGGTTGAGGTTCAGCTCTGTCCTTCACCCTCTGCATTTCCATCCAAGTGCTACTGCTGCAATTCTTTTACTTTCATCTTCTTAGGTCCTCACTTCTGCTGCCAATTCTGGCACCCAGAGTCTGAGACTAAAGCCAACAGTCCCTTCCTGAGCAAGCTGACTTCTCTGTCTGTTCGAGAACCCCCGTACTGCGACACCAGTTCCAAAAGCAAAGCAGAGATGCTTGTGGTATCCTGCAGGGAGCCAGAAAAGGCCCAGAAGAGTTTATTCACTTGGCCCTCAGGTTGTATTTAATGGAGTAACATTTATTTTTAGTAAGTGAAAATTTGTAAGTCATTTTGCCTTCCCTAACCTTTGGAAAAGGTATTTGCCAGTAAAGGTTGCCTGCAACACTGCAATTATGTTTTGCCAAGATCCTATCAAATCAATGGCAGTTTATTTTCAGTTACTCTTCCCAAACAGAAGACAGTAAGCAGCAAATATACAGAACAAAAATAAGATTTAAAACCCCAGCAGTACATAATTTCTCACTCTCATTGGAAAAGCAGGCTTCCTTCCCCCTGTCCAGTCTCTGAGCATCTTACATCAGTGCAAGCACAGGCATTGTGCTACAAACCTGCCTAGATAAAAATATACTGTATTTTAAGGGACAGGTAGGCAAAAGGTAGTACAACCTTCTCGTCTAGTCCTCACATCTGTAGGGTTTTCTAAAGGGTTTTAGTGTATTTCCTTGCAAAGAAATTTCTTTATCGCAAGCTCCATTTTTTCCAAACAAGAAGATATACCTCTGCAGCCAAACACCACAAAATGCTTCTATAAATAAAAAGATCAATAGTTAACTCTGATGCCAACAAGAATGACACCAAGGGACTGGAGCAGGAGTATGGTAATTGAAATCTGCTGACGCAGCTGCTGCTCAACATAATTCAGGGAACTGCAGCAATAAAACTTCTCTATTCTGTCACTCCTTACAATTAGTCCCAGAGCTCTCCGGTCATTTTAACCAACAGCACTCTCCATAATTACTCTGCTGCAGACACTAGACCTGCCAGCAGATTTCACATTCTCTAGTGCTTCATTAGGATTAGAAGACTCTAACAAGAAGCTTCATCAAATTATTAGCTATTATCACACAGAAACTAGAAACAGACCTCGTAAGAATGCTGTTGAATATACATGGAAGTGATAGAAAGCTTCACTGTTCTAATAAATCAAAAATTAAACAAAAGAATTCTCAGCACATTCAATAGCAATATTTTAACTGGAATGTATAAAACATCCATCCCATCTCTGCCATTTCCTTGTTGCTGGGAAGACCAGCCAATCCGAGCTGTTCCAATCCATAAAAAGGAAAAAAATCCATGTAAAGTCTTATTCAATCACTACTATACAAACTTTTTCATTAAAGTGGCAAATATAAATGATGATATTTACAAGTCACCTTTAAAACACTTCAATGGCACACTTCTTCCAAACATAAACCAATTTTTGCTTAAATTTGTTTTCAATTCAGCTGTATCGGTTGTTTATATTAGAGAGAACTAGTTCAATTTGAAAAGCTTGGTAATACACTATTTAATTGCTGTTCCAGGAGAAAAAAACAACAACAAAACCCACACAAACTAGGATTCAAAACCTCTATTCTTATACACAACCCAAGTTATCAGTAACTTTCGTTTTTTGCACTTAAAACACTTGCTCTCGGATTCTAAAATGAAGAATCTGTAGGGGATTTAAAGGATTCTAGGCTTTGTATTTTGCATTATTGTTACCAAAAATACACAGCTACCAGTCAGATTTAAAACAAACACACACCACCACACACATTTGCATTCTTTCTCCTCCTCCTGCCAAAACCCACATGCACAGAAGTTTCCCAATTATGCGAACAAACAGATACATTTGATCTACCCTGAACATGTATCAACTAAACAGTCTCTGAGCTTTGTAATCAAGAATTTATAGGCATAAATCCTGAATCGGGCTCCAGTCCAATTTAGGAAGCTAAAACCTCCTCTTAGAAATTGGTTCTCAATTAAGACTTTAAACGCACTGAAAATTTACAACGGATAAAGGGAGTGGGTAATACATGTGCCTTTCAGAAGAACGAACACCAACTGGAGGTTTCCCAAAGAGCAATGGTTCAAGGAGTCAGAAAAAACATTCTGCTTGCATGCACTCTGTATGTGCTATACTTATTTTAGAGAAAAGATTTTGCTAAATCGGCACAATTTCGGTGTTTTCCATTACAAAATGGAAGTCCTCTGTCTATACAAAGAGCCTTAACTACTTTTTGTCCCTTTTACTTTTTTTTTTTTTTTTACTTATTTTATATGTAAGCCATTGCAACACTGTACCATCTTAAGGTACTAAGCCATAAATCATCTCGTTCCTTTTCCTTTTTGTCCTCACTTCTCAACTCTGTATAGTTGTGCTGTGCACTTTGATAGGCTCACGAGGATGAGTAATGATGGGAATAAAGGCAGTTTCATTCTTTACATCTTGAGTGGATGCACTGCATTCTGCTCTACTGCCAGGTATTCTTGCTATTCCAGTCACAGACTACACCAAGATACATATCGGCTAATCCTACCATCCTGAATGGTCACTCTGTAAAGGGTTTAGATAAACCTTAGGGTGTGGACCATCTTGAAATTAATTTTCATTGGTGAAGCAAAACCAAAACACAAATACCAGTAGGTAAAAAGTAGTGCACAAACCCTTTCAGCCAAAAGGCTCAATGAACGGATTCTGTGTGTTCTATCTTCCCTCCATCCAGTTTCACCACTATCTGTTAATCCCAAATCCTTTTCATTCCTTTTCTTATGCAGTGCAAATCATGTCATGATTCTATTGAGAAATAGGTTTCAAGTAGCACAAATGAGAATGTTAATTGATGCAGTCAGGTATTTTTAAAACAAACAGAGCTTCAATGCTTGTCATATTCGCAAGGAAAGCTACCAGGAAAAAAACCCACCCCACAACTCAATTCTGAAAGCCATCTGATACTCATTACTCACCATCAATCTACTTCAAGGTGGAAGAACTTTGTAGCTTCCCATTTATCACAGAGAAATCACACATCCTATATAACTAAATCATCTTAAAAAAAAAAAAAAGGAGCCAAGTGTTTTCTGTTTAAGAAGCAAAATAGCAACACTTGCTTATTTATGTATAGTAAGTTTCATTTAATGTTCAAAACAGTCTCTTTTTTTCTGGAGAGTTCTTACTGGCATGCGTTCACCAGATCCCCTGGCATTCCATTTGCCTCAGATCACACCTTCAGAAAAGAAGGGTGGAGGGAAGATGAAGTTAACCCTTGCCCTGATCGTTTGTCACTGGGTAAGAAGCCTTGGGATAACTACATCAGTTAATCCCGGTGGGAAAGCTAAGTGAAAACAAGACAGAACCTGAACCAAAGTTTCCCCAGTAATTCAATTACAAAGGAATTCTTAACCGTAGCACTGAAATCTCCACTGGTTAGCTTTCCTTCATTCAGACCTCATGTCCGCAAAGACAGCGTAGAAGTCTCTGTTATAACCCCTACATATAGTTGGGGCATGAAAGATAACCGGTCTGCTCCAAAAATGCAACATTTTGGGTTTAATTCTGAATGTATAGAAATTAAAACTCATTGGGAAACTGAATTTTACAATGAGTGCTGACAGAGCTATAAACATAACGTGGAATTTACTGCCTGCAAGTTAAAATATACTGAACTGGTTACAGACACCACAGTTCTGCTCGTGGAGGACTAAGCTCAAGTTTTACCTCAAGGTGGTTGAGTCACATTTTGATGTTCTCCCACAGCACTTAGCTGCGGTATCTCAACATGGAAGTAAGAACAGAGACTACTGTACTGCTATCTTTACAGTCTGCTATCACAGATATGGTTCTTCCCTCATTCACATACCCTCACGTTGCAAAGCATTAATTATTAGAACTAATGCAAGTGTAGGCATGAATTATGATTGGGAAAAACGAAGGTTGAGATTCCCAAAGTTGTGTGTGAAATTAAACTTGATTACAATTGAAACTAATGCAAATGCTGCATTTAAGCCCCATTTGGGATAACAGCCTGTTCTTTGTTACGTGCTTGTACGTAGTCTAGCAAAAGACATCCTAGGCCATCATCAGGGCTCCGCACAGAAAAATGGAAATAAAAGCCATTACCTAGACAGTCTCGATCTTTCCTCCAACCCCTCAATCTCTAATGTAATACTCATTTTCCCCTTCCCAAGGGATTTTTTTAAAAGTGCATGTGTGTAAATAGAATGTGGTGATATTCACAAGAATGAGAATTTATACCACAATTTGATGAAAGGATATCAAGATTATAATAGTACCTTTTTTTCAAATAAGCAAATAAGTTTCTATATTGACAGTGTACAGAAACTGGTATTTCTATATCATGACTGATTTTTTTTATCTAGGCAGAGTGGTATTTCCCCATTTAACTGCACATCTGGTTTCAATAATCTTGCAGCTGCTACTTATTGGTATGCCTGCCTTCTGTTTTTATCTCCTTTCCCAACAGACTCAGGAATAATTGAAAAATAAATCAAAAAAATAAGAAGTATAACATACAACTAATGACTGATAAGCAGCATGAAAAGTTGCAAATTCACATGAGTGCTGAGCAGAAAATAACTTTGTACTGGAATGGCTACGGGGACTTTACATTCCATGTATGTTTAACTCACCTGCAATGACCAAAAAGAATTATCTCTGGTGAAAAGGTACAGAAGTAAAATCAAATTGAAAATCACAAGATAAAGGTAAAGCTATTTTAGCTTAGTCTCAGTTTGAACAAACTTCCATGACAGCACATACACAGAAGACACGCTCTGCGTACAGACATCTCCAGCGATCTTAAATGCTCTGCGACAGCACGTACTATAGCTTTTTTTGGGTTTTGGTTAGTTATTTTTTCTACTTACCAAGAACACAGACCTATCACTGAGGGAAAGGCATAGAACTAGATTTGTTTCTTTTAAAAGACTCATCTTAAAACTAGAAGCCCATTCCTAGCCATAGTCCTGACATTACTGACATGGAACTAAGGTAGTTGATAAAGCTCTGACTATTTATTAAGACTGCCTGTCTCATACAGCACAGACTAGACCTACAGAGAAAGGCACATGGCAAAGCCAGTCACCTGGGTGAGAAAGGGAAA